CTCACCAACAGGCGTTGTATTTGGGAGTGGGGCTCGATGCAGGCGCGCTGCGTGCCACCCTGTCAGAGAACAGGCGTGCGTCCCTTCTCAGGGCGGTGCACAGGCTGCAACAAGGGGCAACAGTGACAGCTTTAGCTGTCATGCAGACTCTGGGTCTCATGGCGGCTGCTCACGGTGTGGTCCCGTTGGGGTTATTGCATATGCGCCGCCTGCAGAGGTGGTTTTCCAGTCTGCGTTTGGATCCCAAGAGGCACAAACGGCAGCTGGTGACCATCCCCCCCTCAGTGGAGGGCAACCTCCGGTTCTGGGGGTCTCCCGGGCGCCTCCGGAGGGGGTCTCCACTGGGGCGGGTAACCTCCTACATCACAGTGTTCACGGACGCATCCAGAACAGGATGGGGAGGGACCTGCCTGAAGAGGGCTATAGGTGGGCGCTGGTCTCTAACAGAAACACGACACAGCAACCTCCTAGAGCTACGGGCGGTAGTGTTAGTCCTCCAGCATTTCATGCCCCTAATTCAAGGGAGACATGTATTGGTCAGGAGCGACAACAGCACCACAGTGGCTTATATCAACAGGCAGGGCGGAGTCCGCTCCGCCGCCTTGTTGGCCACAGCGGAGAGGCTGTGGTTATGGGCATCAGAGGTGGTATTATCTCTGAGAGCCCTCCATATCCCGGGACTGGAGAACAGGGGGGCCGACCTCATGTCGAGGGGCGGCCCCCTGCCAGGCGAATGGACGCTTCACCCGGAGGTGGTGAAGCAGATCTGGGCCCAGTTCGGGAGAGCGGAAGTGGACCTGTTCGCCAGCCGGCGCAACAGCCACTGTGCCCTGTGGTTTTCCATGGCCCTGAGCGACGACCCGCCTTTGGGGGTGGACGCGTTTGCACACGAGCCATGGCCAAAAAAGCTGCTATACGCCTTTCCACCGCTGCGTCTCATTCTCCCTCTCCTGGGGAGAGTGAGGCGAGAACGTCTGGCAGTCATTCTGGTGGCACCGGATCGCGTCGGGGCTCCGTGGTACTCAGAAATGACACAGATGAAGGTGGGCCAGCCCTGGGCGATCCCCCAGTTCTGGGGGGCAATGTCTCAAGAGGCAGGTGCAATCGGGGCGTTACCCACTCTGGGCCGTCCTCTTCAGGCTTGGCTCCTGAGAGGGACAGGCTGAGACAGGGTGGATTGTCTGACAGCGTTATTCAGTCTATCCAGGCAGCTAGAGCAGGATCCACCACAGCCTGTTACAGGCCGAAGTGGTTGAGATTCCAGCATTGGTGTGAGGAGCGGGGAATAGAGCCCCTATCTTGTGAGTTGGGCTCTATTTTATCCTTCTTACAGTTACTGGTGGACAGAGGGCTTGCTCATTCCACAGTGAAGGTGTATGCAGCAGCCATCTCGTCCTGTCATGAGGGGTTCAACGGCAGGTCAGCCTTCTCTCATCCACTGATGTTGCGGTTTTTACAGGGGGTCAGGAGGCTGCGCCCGGTGGTGCACGCCTCCGCCCCACAGTGGGACCTGCCGCTGGTGCTCGAGGCCTTGGTCACGGGGCCATTTGAGCCTCTTGAGCTCTCCTCCCTGAAAGCACTGTCGTGGAAGACAGCGTTGCTACTTGCCTTAACGTCAGCCAAAAGAGTGTCCGAGTTAACCGCTCTGTCGGTGCACCCGAGCTGTTTATTGATTCGGGGTGACCAGAGTGGGGCGACACTCAGACCGAACCCCTCCTTTGTGCCCAAGAGCCTAAGGAGTGAGTTCAGGTCGAGGGCTATTCAGTTGGGGGGTTTTAGTCTTCCACCCCATGGGGGGGCTAGAGAAGCTAAATTACACCTCCTCTGCCCGGTGAGCGCATTAGCATATTATGTAGAGCGCACAGCTACCCTGAGACGCACTGAACAGCTGTTTGTGTGCTTCGGGGGCGGGGTGACTGGAAAAGCTCTGTCCAAGAAACGCCTGGCAGGCTGGCTTTGTGAAACCATTGCACACGCCTACAAGCAGGCAGGGAGAGCCTGTCCCAGGGGGGTCCGTGCGCACTCCACACGAGCTGTGGCTGCATCAACAGCCTTATTCAGCGGTGTGAGTGTGGAAGATATATGCACGGCGGCGTCTTGGTCAACGCCAGGCCCCTTCATAAAGTTTTATCTCTTGGATATGTCTGGCTCTTTCTCATCGTCTGTACTTGCTGCGGCAACACAGGACTGGTGAGGAGGGGGGGGGCTGTGGGTCAGTGGGCATCTGACCCCCTCCCCGGACGTAAATGCGCTTACATTTCTCCGGACCCCTGGAGGGTCGCGGGGTGATGTAATGCGCTCTGGGCCCTTACAGGGCTGTAGGGCTCCCCTCACCTGCCTGGGGGCAGGAGGGGGAGAGCCCTCCATATTATTGTCCCTACACACTCTGCACAGGGTCAGTGGCGGAGTGGGGGGACATAGGGGGCACTTGCGTTCTCCCCGTGCTCTTTAGGGACTCAGGAGGGAGAGTGCATAGTGAACCCATACAGGGCTGCAGACTTTCCCTGTCTGTCTATGGGCAGATGTAGGGGAGTCCTCAGCACTATTTTTGAGCACACTTTTTTGCGAGGCAAGCGCGTCAGGGTGTGCTCTATCAGCCGCAGCCCGGACTTCTCCACGGTTACAACCGAGGGAGAGGTGAGTGAGGCGCAGTGGCTGCTAAAGCCGGTCAGGGACAGTGAGGTGGAACGGTGTGCTGGACGACAGTACGTGCATACATCGGGGCTCCGCCCACTGTACCCATAGAGTCCAGTAGAGGGCGGAGCCTGTGAGAGATATAACGTCGGGTTACGTATTGTAACCCTTGTTATATAAACACAGGCGGAGCCCTCTACCTTGGGGGCACTGTCTGTCCTATACCGCTCGCTGAAGAGTGGTGTAGGATAGTGGTCAGGAGGCGAGGCCTCCTTTTATACGGAAGTGAGATGCGCACGCATTCAGGTAAGCCCGCCCCGGGGCCGGCTACGTCTATAGAAATCTCAGTAGGTGAATGCTTGCATGATAAGGTAGTACCCATAGAGTCCAGTAGAGGGCTCCGCCTGTGTTTATATAACAAGGGTTACAATACGTAACCCGACGTTTTTCATGAGGCAGTCAAATTAAATATATGTCCTATGCCATATTCACATGCATTTCTAACACACACGTAAGGGTAAAAGACAAACATCTTTAACACATGTAATGCAATGAATACGCTTAATTGTCAAAGAAGCACACATAACATCATATCTAATATTTAAACAAATAATTTCCTTGTCCCTAAAGCTATTTTTCGTCCTTAAATGCAGGCATTAAGTTACATGTTCACGTTCTGCTGCCACAATAAGTCGGTTTCTCCAGTGTAATGATAATAAAATGCTTAGTAAGTATTGGTAATAATATTAATAAAAACAACAACGTTTGGGTTCGTTTGTTTATTATGATGGTAACGTTAACCAGTAAGCTTCAACTCCAGCTCAACAAACCATATTGCAATATCTACATTAATGTTATTTCTGGAACCATCTGGAAATGTGAGATTTATATTTTTCAGATACACAGATTTTATAGTGAGGTTAATCTCATGTCGAGCATAGCGGATTTAAATTAACAATAACAATGCATACAGTTACCTAACTAGCAAATTGACTAATGTTCGAGGATGACCTGTACAGTATAATCCTTCTTAATGTTTTACACTTCTCTATTATGTTTTAACTTGTATGCTACGGATAGCATTGTTAGCACAGATGTAGCTTCCACTCCCTCGTTAGCTGAATAAAAAGACCAGTAAGAAATAAAGTGCTTGTATTTCACTTACCGAAGAAACTGCATTCAGGGACGGTCGCAGAGCCATAAGATAAGTCAGATATTTAAATGAAGAATACTCCACCAGGCACCAACACAACAAACATGTCCGAGTTCAAGTTGTGTTCCCCGAATCAGCCGAGCATCTGAGCCCCTGCAGCATCCTGGATCTAACAGAGCTAACGGAGCTAGCAGAGGGACAGAAAGCTAGAAGCAGCAGTCACTGCAGAGACCTGTCACTCAAGGTGACCACGCCCTAATTTATGCAAAAACGTTAAGACCTTTTATAACTAAAAGGGATGCGTTATAAAAACAACTCACTCACCAATCCATTATCATGAAGGTGGAATCTAACTATATCCAGAATAAGTTTTATTGCATCCAGGGGTAGTAACATGTTTATTTCTACTGTAAATGTGGGCATTTTAACATGGGGGTCTATGGAAATTGCTCCTTTCTGCAGCCTGCTCCTACCGGCCACTAGATGAACTGCAGTTTGTGGCACTTCCTTATGGGCTTATACTCTGCCCCAGAGTTTGCCGCTTGGTGTTATGTAGCTTTTTCTGTATGTAAATGGTCTGCAAAGTCACAAACCCTCAAAGTACACCCTCTAGCGAGTACAACTCTAACACAGAGAAGACGTGTCTATGCTGCCCCAGAACGCCTCGTCGTAGATTTGTCTTTTTCCATGTTTTTCTTCCGGGGGCTATTGACGTCACTAAATCTGGAGACAAATTGGCAAGTTGGTACGCCCATAGCTATAGAACAATAGGCACACCCTCTGCCAGCTAAGCATTTACTGTTGGAAGGTTCAGTTCAAAATTGTATCCAGTCATGTCAAGAAAGTACTGTGCCCTGAAATGTGAGGGGAAATGAAACCAGTAAACCCACCTCACACTGTCCGCTCTTCATGCCTCACAGGGCGGACTTGTGAGCTCCGTAATGTCCCGCTAACATGGTACTTACACTTTATGCAGCATTCTCATCTGTTTGTCATTACTGGTGTCATTTCCTGGTTGCTAACCGACGCCATTGTAAAACAGAAAAACGGATGTTCAGCTGTAACGGGAAGGCTGGGAAAGCACTCTGTTAGACAGGGGCGGAGCAGAAACTCTATACCTAAGTGATAGGGCAACTGGTTCTGCAGTCTGTTGGGTTCAAAGTTTGATAAGATGTCATGGATTTGCAACTTGTGTTTGTGTGTTCAAATGTACCTATAGAACAGGTCATGCTGCAGGGCTCCTGAGAGGAGAGCTTCCAGCGGTACATATCAGCTGCACTCAGCTTCAGGTTCTTCTGGAAGATCCTTTGATTCCCCCTGTCAAACACAGACACAAACATGTTTCTATATACATTTGTATTATTTTTGCACTTAATCCCCAATCCTTTTCAAAACCAGCGATTTTGAAACAAATCTATTTTCAGTGATATATTATTATTCATTTAAGGATACTCAGTCGTGCAGACCCTCAAACACATTCATACGCTGAGACTGACAGCTGATTCACAGCCTGCATCCTAGCAAACGCACTTAGTTTTTTTCATCCCGTCACATAAAAGTCACATGCACATTCTTGTCATAACACCGGTCGATCCCTCCGCCTCCGCCAGACGTTTATTTGAAAATCACTTTGAGTTATTCCTCGCCGGCATCCCTCCATGTAAGCCAGACTGATTCCTGCATATTATTTTCTCCCCAGAGGTTACTACAGCCTGACAGCACACTTTCCTCCCCTTTGCATCATATTTTTCACTTCTTCAATTTGTTTTCTAAGTGTAGCTGTACTCCCCTTCCTCACCCTCCTCCTCCCCTCTGTGCTCCTCTGCTCTGCTCGTTTCCTCTCCTCTCAGAGTCTCAGAGGACAGGGCGTGTCATCCCCTGTTTTATAGCTGCTGGCGGGCCTATGTGAGTTATGAATATGATTAATCGAAGACCTGTCTGTCTGTCTGTCCTTCTGTCCGTCTGCCCTACATCCTGTATATTTACCTGCCGCTCTTACATCCTTTGATTTATGTCTCTGTCTGTCCCTTTTACAGTCTGTTTATTTACCTGTCTACCCGTATATTAGCCTATCTGTCTGTTGTGTTAATGCTCTTTCCACCCAGCTCCCTGACTGTCTAACCCTAACCATTGTATATCTATAAGCTTACCTGCTTAACTGTCTGTCTGTTTGTTTCCATCCCCTTACATCGGCGTTGCGGAACATTAGACTACCTGTTTCACTCCTTTACTACCTTTCCATCTGCTTGTCTCCCAGCTTTGTCTAGTGCACCAACCCAGTCTCACGGCCCAGTCTCGTGTTATAGTCACAAAATTTATCTATTGATTTGTGTTCACCAACACGATTTGCCCATTCTTTTCATGTCACACAGAATGATTTTAAAAGCAATGTAAATAATAACAAATTAGAAGGAAAAAAAGATTTTAAAAATACAGATTTCAGTATTCTGACACAGAACGATTTTAGAAGCAATGTATTTATATTGGTAGTATGTTTCGTGCCTGCACCAAATAATAACAAATTAGAAGGAAAAAAAGATTTAAAAAATACAGATTTCAGTATTCTGAGGCTCTGAGCCCCATTTATTTCCCTCGCGGACGGCAAAAAAAGTCAGACATTATACAATTTAAAATAAAAACAATAATCGTGGCTTGATATTGAGTAAGAAAATGTTTTTATGAACCACACAGCTTCTGGTCTTCCAAGACCCGACCGGACAAAAACACGTGGTGCAGGCACGAAACAGTACCAATAGAAAAACATTGATTTTAAAATCGTTCTGTGTGACACGAAAAAAATGTTGAACACGAATCAATAGATTACATTTATTTTGTGACTATAAAGTAACACGAAATGCCGTGAGACTGGGTTGAGTGCACATGTGCCAACGGAGCATGCAGCCTGTTGCTGTTGCTCCTGCTTGATTTGTACTATTTCCAACTTTCTTATTTGATGTTACTTGTTATCTTTATATCAGTAACTTCTATTAGTATATTATAAAGCTTCTCTAAACTCTCTTTTAGAGAGAGAATTATTTATTTATTTTCGCTGTTGAGTTGCTGCTATTAGACGCTTTCACACCGGAGTACTTTTCCCAGTATAGTTCCGATAGTTCTTGAAACTTTGCGTTCACACCAAAAGAATCCGGAACTAGAACTTAGTTCATGAGAACCTTTTCACCCCCTTTTTAGTCCCTGCTAGAGAGCAGGTACTTTCAAGGGAGAAAAAGGTTCCCATTTCTGATTGGCTGGGCGGATTGCAAACCACGCCCCGTAAAACTCGGAAAAGTTTGCTGCAGCTTCTACTGAAGCCAGTCCCCAACTCCGGGGACTTCCGGACGGGGACTTCGGGTGGCAGTATACGACGTGAAGTTGTTTGCGGCCTGCCATCAGAACTAAAGAGTTCTGATCCCAGTCAGAGGAATTATCTGGAGTGTAGTTTAAAGAGCAACTTGCAGGTTAGAGCCCCCAGTGAATAAATGTGTAGGGAAATGATGTATACACTAGATTTTCAAAGAAATATACATAAATATACACTACAGTGACATCTGGCGTTGTTTTTGTAAGACATTTTTACTTCCGCATAAAAAAAAGACCAAACGCGTGTGACATCACATCAGGGAGAGCTAACGTATTAACCTGTTACGCACCGCCCCCCCCGGTACCGGGCGGATAAACGCGTCATTTGCAGGAAACAACGTCTAAGCAGTGGCGAGCCGTCAGGGCCCTCTAGGCCCTCTGTGAGGGCCTAAGATATTCCAAAAAATAATATTTAAAAACATTAAAAAAATATATATTTTTTTTAAATATATATTTTTTTAATATTATTTTTGTTATATTTTTCATTAGTTTTACCGAAAAAAAACTTGATTTAATAAAATAACATTTCCAAAGAAATAAATCCTTCGAATCTGCCTGTTCAGTCTCTGTTTGAATGTCAGTTACTATAGCGGGCCTCTCTGAGATTCACAGAGGGCCCGCTATAGTAACTGAACGAGAGAGTAATGTCAAATGACAGTACAATTGACCAATCATATCTTCCCTCTAAATGGGTGGGTTTTATTATCGCGGACTTTATGACGAGTTCCGCCCGCTGTGAAACTTTTCTTGTTTCCATAGCAACAACAACTTCCTGTCAACAGCGTGAACTCGCCTTCAAAATAAAAGCATGCCAAATTACACTTAAGACATACAACTGCAATGAAAGTAACAAACACAATGCAATATCATTTTCAATGTCAAAGAACACAAATTGGGTTCACAGGTGTTGTTTTGTGTGGTAGAGGGTCGCTGTCATTGATGCGTTTTGCACCCTGGGCCGTTGTTTTGATATTCCGCTGAAGTATACGCTGTGACGTAATAACGTCTTTTTTTCGAGGGAAGGGGTGGGGGTCAGAGGGCCTAGGTATAAAGCTCACGGCTCGCCACTGCGTCTAAGGAATCTTAATATTTAATAAACTATGAATGTTTTATATCCATGTAACGGGAAGAAACTCAGCTAACTGATCTTTTAAAAAAGAAAATCCAAAAAAAACCCACAATGCTAACACTCAGCCTCTGAATTAGCCACGAGCGAAAAAATGTAACCTAAAACTGCACCTAAACTCACTCATAACTCCCTTATTACTTATCCTAGATGCACAGCCAACCCATCGATTAGCATCTCCTGGAGACACAGAATCTGTGTAAAAAACCTCTACACTCAGTGATAAACATTTGCGACGCTATAAACAAACAACCCAGTCTCACGGCATTTCGTGTTATTAGTCACGAAATTAATTTAATCTATTGATTCGTGTTCACCAACACGATTTTCACCTTTTTTTCGTGTCACACAGAACGATTTTAAATGCAATGTATTTCTATTGGTAGTATGTTTCGTGCCTGCAACATGTCTTTTTGTCCGGTCGGGTCTTGGAAGACCAGAAGCTGTGTGGTTCATAAAAACATGTTCTTACTCAATATCTTACCCTAAGCCTAACCCTATCCCTTTTATTTTAAATTGTATAATGTCTGAGTTTTTTTGCCGTCAGTGAGGAAAAGAAATGGGGCTCAGAGCCTCAGAATACTGAAATCTGTATTTTATGTCATCTTTTTTTCCTTCTAATTTGTTATTATTTGGTGCAGACACGAAACATACTACCAATAGAAATACATTGCTTCTAAAATCGTTCTGTGTCAGAATACTTAAATCTGTATTTTTTTAAATGTCTTTTTCCTTCTAATTTGTTATTATTTACATTGCTTTTAAAATCGTTCTGTGTGACACGAAAAAAATGGCGAAATCGTGTTGATGAACACGAATCAATAGATTAATTTCGTGACTATAACACGAAATGCCGTGAGACTGTGTTGAAACAAAAGCGTACATCAGAACATGTGGACGGACACTATCATTTACAGTTTTTTACTATGTAAAATCTGAATTTTCTTTAAAATAAAAAACATCTATATTGATTTTGACACTTCTGCATCCAACTCACAGATGTAACCTTGCTTTGATAAAAGAAATTATTCATATAACCCTTTTAGAAGTTAAGTTGTAGTCATTTGTTTTGGGCATGTCATTTTCGAGCCTGAAACATGAAAAACAGGCTTGGTGCTTAACAGGTTAATAAACATGGATCACAATGCTAGTTTTGACACAGAAGAGGTTGAAAATGTATATTCGTATGCATATGACGGACCACCACCTTATATAATTATGAGCCTGCTAGGCGTCCAAGAGACCAGGAGCAGCCAAGAATTAGAAGAAATAACGGCCATCGGAGAGAAATGGAGCTGTGGTGTGAGGAGAATCAGTGAAGAACTGGGCAGCTGTCTTGGTGAGTGACCGGCGTTAGCTACAGTTAATGTTAGCTAACGTCGGTCACATCACAACATTGTAAAGTTAGCTATCATATATCAGGCTATAACTAAAGTAGTATTGATAATATAGTAACGTTACTGGCAGGACTGTTGATACTGATTGAAGTAAAAAGATATGATTCTAAATTGTATTTTAGTGAACATGTATTGTTTGAACTGTTTTAAGTAATCACATATATAGAAATTATATTCTCACTTACAACTCACTGACCCAGAGATCCTGTTTCACCCACATACACCTCCCTTCTCACGAGCACACACACACATGTTCTTTTCAAGGTTCTTTCTGGGTATCATTATGTTCTTTCTGGGCTCATTATATCTGTATACAATGTTTAATTGTCTGAGAGTAACAGTTTATGTGAAATATTCCATGGGAAAATAAGGGAGTGGATATCGGGGCAGAGATAAGATTGACTTTGACCTTGTGGAACCTTAGAATCTCACGTTCTGGTCAGAACTCTGATTCGCTGTATTGAACCCGGCCAGAGGTGGATCCAACCAGTAAGGACACCTGGGGGAGTGAGCAGCTCACACAGCTCCTCCCCACGGACTCTCTGATTCGCTTCGGAGTAAAATGGGAAGGAAGATTCGACACATCTCCGCCCCAAAATATGGATATGAATACTGTTGTTTTTGTATGTAAAAATACTTCTGGTTTGCTGAAAGCTGGTCTAGAGACGGTAAACCGCATCACAAACCTGAAGTCCGTACTTCTCGTTTTCTGAAAGCTGGTCTGTCTACCTGTAAACCGCATCACAAACCTGAAGTCCGGAGTACTCTGTAAAACTTGTATACGTGTTTTGTTTCCTACCAGTAAACTCAGATAATTGTTATAACTTTTGATTCCGGTGTTTTCAATTCCTTTCTTTATTAAATAGAGATCAGCCTCATCCAACGAACGGCGCGAAGCAGAGGGGGGGGCTCTCAGCCACCCAATAGGTGTTCTGCTCCAACATGATCCATAACAGAAACTAATGCGCAAGTATCAGCCTTATCTCACGTTACCTAATGCAACTCCACACTATGTCTTACGGTGCTGTACCGGAGGGGAGAGAGAGAGGAGTGAAGGGGGGGGATGTAATACGGTTTCCTGATAAACGTTTTGTTTGATAGGTGCTTGTGTGGGAAATGTCAGCCCATGGCCTCAGCTGTGGAGAGTATGTGCTGCAGGGAGGTGGATGCTGCTGCTGCTGCTGCTGCTAGCGGAGCTGATGAAGCTGGGTGTATTGACAGAACCGCACTAGCTAACAGCCTCACACGGTCCTGACTTCGATATCCCATCCTGAACTCCATCAGATCACCTGCCTCATAATCCTCCTGTCTAAAATGAGCGCCACAAACGACCGTGTTTTTCGTTGCAGATGTGGCAGTGAAGTCCCGTCTCTTCGCCTGCACAAAACGCACACAGGAACGAAAGCTAGCTCTGGTCCTTTTCCTGTTAGGGAAACTGTGGACTCGATGTCATGACAGGCCGGAGTTTGTGCAACCTGCACAAACACAATAGCTCACCATGATTAAAAATGGTGAAATGCAATGTAAAATTACCGAAAAAATACCAGCTCACTAAATCACAACCGCTCAAACCAACTACCAACTACTACCACGAATTGGGCAGAGAAGGAGTCCGAGAAAGTTGCTCCCCTATGTGACGTAATATGACGTGTTTGACGTATGACGTTAAAAAAAACTGTTTTTAGTAGCAGAGCTCAAAACGGCTACTTTCCCCTCTGAATTCCTGCCCTTATGTCTCGTAAAACATATCAAATCCTGCATTAACTTTTTTAATTGTAATTTTCAGACAAGGTTAAGCATACATTTTGTAAAAAAAAAAACCTGCAAGTTGCTCTTTAATGTACTTTATGAAAACATGGCTGCACCAAGACCTATCTATTAACAACGTTTCCATCAATGAGCAATGCTTCCAACGTTTCCTTTGCTTGCTTCCGGACTGTTCGGGTCGACAAGGATTCCACTTAGAGCTTCACCATGTCTTCCATATGGTCTGAGTCTTCAGAGGGGTCTGTTCTGTGGGGGATGTCAGGCCTTGTTCCTTTGTCCCAGCTGCTAAAAGTTATCTTATGGCACGTTTTACTTGTGTTTATATCAACACACTCTCTTCAGTCTGCGTACAAATGACACGACTTTACACATTGGAAATGTGTGCAATAGGTACGCAGAAGTCAGATTTTGCATGCATATGATACGCCAACCATTCCCATTGAGATCTGAGTCCGAGTTTTGCATGCATATGATACGCCACGTTTCGTGCCTGCACCCGGTCGGGTCTTGGAAGACCGGAAGCTGCGTACCTATTGCACGCATTTCCAATGTGTAAAGTCGTGTCATTTGTACGCAGACTGAAGAGAGTGGGTTGGTTTATATAATTATAAAAAAATTGTATTCTAATATGGTGCAACTGTCAGGAAACCAAAGTTCCCCCTGGGATTAATACAGTATTTTTATTGATTGATTGTAGTCAGTCCACCTGTCTATAAAACTACCTTTCTGCGCTGTCTGTCTGTCCACCTGTCCACCTGTCTAATTTATTTTTTAATTCCTGCCTGCACTAATTGTTTTCCACTTGGGCCGAACTGTGTACTTTCCCCCTTTTTCCGTATCCCCTTTGCCTGTTTCACTGCATGGTTTTGCTGCACAATTTCTTGTGTTGCTTGACAGTGTCTGAACAATCAGGCCCGGTGTGACCCAGACCTGAACACCATAGGTCCAGACATCAGCCTAAACATGGAACTCTGCTGTGGATCATCTTAAAACTCAATTAAAATGTTAAGTATTCTGTAAATAGCTGTTCCCAGTCTTTGCAACCCCTCAAAGCACTTTAACAGCATTCACCCATACAAAGGCTGCCAAGGGGACTTACATTCACATATTTTCAAACACAATGTTAGCCATGCTACAGGTAGCAATTTGAGGTTAAGTATCTTGCCCAAGGACATATGGACATGTTGACTGCAGGGACAAACAATTAACCTCACAGCTGCCCCACAATATCTACTTGATGCTCCTTTACCTGTGTTCTGTTGGATTACCTCGTTCTGTTGGAGCGGCTGGAGGTCCTCCCATTACTCTGCACTGTTTTGTTCTCGAAGGAACTGTCTACGCTCTCATTGCGTTTGCGACCCAGAGTAAACTCCAGTGTCTCGTTGACACCAAACGGGCCATCATGCCCCAGGCTTATCAGGTCCTCCTCCGCTGGTCCCACCTCTGACGAGAACAAACTGTCTCCCTCCGTCAGCAGCTGATTGGTTGAGATGTTGATGAGTAGCTCATCAGGGCCAATCCGGCCGTCCAGCAGCACCCTCCAGATGAGGTTTGGGGAGTCTGTCCCCGTGTCCAGAGGCCCACCAGCAGGTGCAGGTTTGGCAGTGCCACCTGTGTGACTGCTGTTTCCTTCTGATGATACAAATAGGGAGAATTCAGCTATGTTTTAAGAACAAATCAAGTTGTGTGTATTGTTGCAATTGAGTAATTAGTTTACAAATTTGGCTCGGATTGAAATACTTTTCTTGAAGATATTTTAAAGTGCATCAAAGGGACCGTAACCTAAGACCTTTCTCATTTCTAATTTCCCCCTCCTCGACTACTCCTCGACTCCCATCCTCGCGTGTTAGTCCCGCCCGCAGGAGATGCGAGCGGAGGAGGCGAGGAGGCGAAGCGAGGAGAGAGGAGTGGAAGTAGCAGGCGTTTAGAGAAAGGAGAAATCCTCTCCTCTGAGCGGTCATTTTAAAGAGACGTCCATTAATGATGACAGGAGGCACAGCAGCCCTCTGTCTGATGGGCAGAACTGTGTTCATGATGACTTATATATTTACTTTTAATTCATTGACAGTGTGGTATAATGAGACAATAACAGGCTACAGATGCGGAAATATACACACACACACACATATATATTTATATATATATATTTATATAAATATATATATACGATTTCAGAATCAAACAAGTATCAGAGCGCTCTCATAATAACATAACACTATCAGAGACTGGATATATCCCCCCCCCCCCCCTCTCAGGTCGCTACAATGGGGAAATGAAATTACAGGCCAAAAGTTGTATTTACAATTATTAAAAGTATGCAGAGGAAACCAAACCAACTGAGACCCGTCTGTCCGCCGCATCTACGCACACACACTGTACAACACACACCTACACACTGTACAACACACACCTACACACTTTACAACACACATCTACACACTGTACAACACACACCTACAACTCCTAAAGCATCAGGTTACAGCCGTTGTATATTTTATTATGTGAAGCACTATATGGTTTATGGTTCTTGTTGTAAATTCCCCTTGTTTTCCTTAATCTGCGTTATATTATTTATATAATTTAGGGACAGCTAAGTAGCGCAGCTGCGGGTCCTCGCTCTGTTTACACATGTGCGTTCATGTCACGACATTATTGCGGTCGCAACGTCATATGCATATTATTATCATCATAGAAAATGCGTTCGTGAATAATAAACCATTCTCTACTCTACATTCTCATTATCATTCTTTAATAATCGTCCCCTCTCTGACACAGCCTCCTAAGCAGCATCTCATTACGGGTGCCTTCACAGCGGGTCAGATAGCCTTATCAGAGCAGTCCTACCCTGTGACAGCACTCCAGAAGCATTATCGCCACTTGAAGGGGCTTCCGCTGAAGAACTTTAGCAAGGTTCATCCGCTACTGCTAATTGGCTCGGATTGCACCCACCTAATCACAGCCAGGGAGCCAGTCAGGGGCGGCCCCAAAGGTGGACCCACAGCCATCAATACAGCACTCGGCTGGGCACTTCAGGGTCCAGATGGGCTAACATCTCAGTCGACTTCATGCTACTTCACATCTGTCAAGCCAGCAGCAGATGACCTCTACCAACACGTTGATCGTCTCTGTCAGTCCTCCCGTTCAAGAGTGAAAGGCTAGCAGTACGGTCCCGATTGGACCAGGAAGCCGTGAGTATCCTGGAAGCCCGCACTGGGAGGGTGAAGGTGGGCGACACACTAAGGTATGCTACACCTCTTCCCCGCGTCAGGGACGCTCCACCCTTAAAGGCCACTCCTGAACAAATTATGCCAATGCTTCGCAGCACAGAGCGCAGACTCATTAAAGACACAGCCAATAAGCCAGCTGATGACCTCACCCGTGGCAAGACAGTAGCTGAGCTGGCAGCACCAAATCGGTGGATTCAAGGTCCAACATTCCTACGTGGCCTGCCTGACCAATGGCTGTCGCTTCCTGCCCCCACAGAGCCCGAAGATACTGACGAGCACAAACGAGCTACCTTCTGCGGCCTAACGCGAACCAGTCCAGCACCTCCAACACCAGACGTCACACAGTTTGACACATGGACAGACTTGGTCGAGGCCACCAAGCAGTTTCTTCACGGGGCGGCGACTGACCCTTCCTTGCCTCAGTCTGACTTACGTGACGCTGAAATCCTCCTGTTGCAGCGCAGCCAAGCGGAATGCTTCCAAGAGGAGATTGAGTGTCTCAAGGCTGGCAAACCAGTAAAACCTGGCAGTAAACTCAGTATGCTTTCACCGGAGATTGATCCTGCAATGGGCCTGATCTGCGTCGGTGAAAGATTTCGCCGCATGGAGACTCCCTGTGCTATGGAAATTCACCCCATCCTTCTCGATCCCAGCCATGCAGTCACAAAACTCCTCATTAAAGACATGGACGAGCGCTTGCTCCATCCAGGGCCCGACAGGGTCTTTGCTGAAACTAGGCGGCAGTACTGGTTCCTGCGTGGGAGACAGGCCATCAAGCATCATCAGAGGAATTGCACTGGATGCAGGAAGTGGAAAGGGAAGCCGGTGATACCGATTATGGCCGACTTGCCTTCTGCCCGTCTGCGGCTCCTCAAGCCTCCATTCTTCTCTACCGGGGTCGACTGCTTTGGGCCACATACTGTCAAGGTAGGGCGGCACAGTGAGAAACGGTGGGGAGTCATCTTTAAATGTCTCACCACTTGCTGTGTCCACCTAGATCTGCTTAATAGCATCGATGCAGATGCTTTCCTCTTGGCCTTGAGGCGATTCATCGCTCGGCGAGGCACCCCCTTCGGGATTCTCTCAGATTAGGGGACAAACATCCGGGGAGCAGCTAGGGAGCTTGAGGAGGCGTTTGCTGGAATGATGCCCCAACTGCAAGAGGAACTTGCCAAGAAACAGATAAAGATTCGCTTTAACCCTCCAGTATCTCCCCACTTTGGTGGTGCCTGGGAGCACGAGATACAATCAGTCAAGAAGGCTCTACAAGTGGTGATTGGCGCTCAGTCTCTCCACGGAGAAGTCCTCCTCACCTTCTTAGTCGAAGTGGAAGGTATCTTAAATGCCAAACCCTTAGGCTATGTGTCATCAGACCTCGCAGATCCTGTGACGCCAAGCATGTTGCTGATGGGGCGGCGGGATGCCTCCCTTCCACAAGTATCCTACGCTACAGACACCCTCAGCAAGAGGCGGTGGCGTCATTGTCAAATGATGGTTGACCACTTCTGGGTGCAGTTCATCAGAAGCTACTTGCCATCCCTTCAAGTCCGCCAGAAGTGGCGGCAGCACACTGGTGGTCTTCTCCAAGGTACTGTCGTGATGATAGTTGATCCTCAGCTTCCACGTGCCCACTGGCCAGTGGGGAGGGTCATCAAGCTGAATGCCATTGCTGATGGATGCAGCCGGTCGGCTGAGGTTCAAGTCGGGGACAAGACCCGTGGCACGCCTTGTGCAGCTACCAGCTCTACCGGACGACGATGCTGATCCAGGGACTTCTGCTGCACCTTAGGGAATTTATTCTGTTTACATAATAGCTATGCTATTCTGGGGGCGGCTGTTGTAAATACCCCTTGTTTTCCTTAACCAGTTAAGCCCCATGCCCCCGGTACCGAATTAGCCCTGAGTGAAAAAATGCTAACGCACTTAGCACATAACTCACGTTAAAATACCCTTATTACTTATCGGATCTGCACAAACAAAATATCGATTTGCAAGCTGAGATTCCACAGATTCCAGAAATATAAATATCATCACTGAGAGACCAGAACTCGCGGCATGGGAAATAAAACCAGACATCACACAACGTAGCTTTAGGCAGCAAACGCGGGACATTGTCTTACCTTTTGCTGTTTCTCATCAAAAGTTGTGTTCAAAGGCATTAAAACGATAAAAACGCTGTTGTAGGTTAATCCAATGTGTCTGTGTCACTGTGATTAATGATAGTCCATCTTCATATTTATGTCAATAACGGAGATTTCATATTAGCGGCTACCAGAGTGTATGACAGCTTCCGGTTTTGGGTATTCTGGCAACGCATCACTCATTCACCAATGGGTAATGTTAAGATGGATTTTAGGAACTTCCCCTCGATTCCATTGGCTCTAGCGGTTATAAAGAGATTTCATTCATCAAAATCGAGCAAGGGGGGCCAGAGATATGGAAAATCCACCCAAATGACCCCAGAAGTGGTTTTTCTGTTGCTAAATCTCTCTAAAAATATCAAATTTCACTTGTTTTGCATCAATCTTGATACAGGGTACTTATTATATGTTGTACTTTGGATTCCTAAAGCTTTTAGTCTACTAACCCATCATCCAAGGGTAGTTTTCACTATAAGTAAAAAAGAATTTTTGGACGGACACTATAATTTACAGTTTTTTACTATGTTCAATCTGAATTTTCTTTAAAGTGGACCTATCATGCTATATTTAAATGATATATTGTAGGGCCATACCTATACAAGGTATATTTATACATTTCTGTTTTCAAAATACCAAACAGATCATGCATTTTAGCCATGCCTCATTTCGCTCTATGTGCTGTTTGCTGTCTACGGGGCTGATCTCTGTGAGCTGCAGCTGACAACGCCCCCCTGCAGGAGAGGGAAGCCTGTGCTCTGATCAAGTCAAGAGGGGGAGAAAAAAAGATCTCGGTCCTCCGTGTTTTATTTATATATACAGCCTATGGTTTTATTATATTATTATAGGCCTATATAGTCGTTATTAATTTGTTTTAAAGCTCAATAAATAACAAAGAAGACCTTTAACCGGCACTTTTCTAATTTTGTCCAGAAGATTTAAACTTTAACGGACATCTTGACCGGCGAAAGAAACTGAAACTGAAACTCTCCCGCACGGTCCCCTCGTTCCTTGGAAGAGGCGGAGAGGTGGGTGTTTGTCATCTGCTGGTGGACTAACCGGAGAGGATTACAGTGCTTGCCTCGACGGGGAGGGATTGCATTGAATTAAAGCAGCGGGAGCAAACGCTTGCCTCGGGGAGGGAGAAAAAAAGATGTTTCTACATCCAACTCACAGGTGTATCATTGCTTTGAGAAAAAAGATTATTAATTTACCCCTTTTAGAAGTGAAGATATAGTCAATTGTTCTGGGTAAAATTAAAGAAATC